TTGAATTGTCAAAAACCAAAACTACCCTTCAACTGGCATGCGCGGAATGGTCAATCCACTGGTGGGGTGGGTCTCACGGGTGCCACGTCAGCATTTAACGATTGACCGTCTGGTCAACTTAACGGAAAGATGCAATTGGACAAAGTTGAAAACGTAAGGGCGTAAATTGATAAAATTGATATCATGAGGCCCAATTTGAGAATGACCCTAAACTAGCAGGGTGCCTTTTGTCGTTAGCCTTTTTTTTATCACTTGGACCATCCGAATGGGGTTATTCTTTGGGGCTCAACCATATAAGCAGCCCAACCAAACCCAGACCCGGATACAACCATACAGCCCAGTGGGCCCCACTCTCGCATCAGCCGTTGCTGCAATTTCCATTGGGATCCAATGGCTCTCATTTGAATAAAAAATAGTTTTTGGGCGGTTGATTCCAATCTAAATTATAAAATTCATAGTGGAGAATATAAAATTTCTCTGTGCCAACGCCTTACTCTTTTATTGGCATCTTCGTTCAACCATTGCGCGGCACCCGTCTAGAAATCTTAATATAATAACCCAACAAAGTTGAGCACTCCATTTCTTACAAAGCTGAGTGCTTCTGCTTCTGCTTCTCCCAGACAGAGAGAGAAACAGATAGAGAAATGGAGGATGTGGTTATAGCTGGGGCAGGGATTGCAGGGTTGGCGACTGCAGTGGCGCTCAAGAGAGCTGGAGTTGAAGCGTTGGTGTTGGAGAGATCAGAAGGCCTCAGAGCCACGGGCGCAGCTTTAACACTTTTCCCCAACGCTTGGGTTGCCCTTGATGCCTTGGGCATTTCTCAAAACCTCGCTCCCCTTTATGCCCCGACCAAAAAGTAATTCTTTTAGCCTTCGATCTTTCTCTCTCGTTGATAAACTTTTTTTTCTGTGCTTTTTTTTTTTTTTTTTTTATCTAATTATCTAGACAATTAAGAACAGTGATAAAATGTCAAATATAGCCCTTAGTCTTATGAACACTAAATATATATTGTATAATGAATAGGTTAACTGTTGAAACTTGAAATCCTCTAAATTTGTAGCTAATTTTCAATTTCCCCCGTAACCTTTTTTCTTAGAATAATTGCTCCCACATATACATGCATTCGTATGTGCCATCATTCTTATGTGTTCATTGACAGAATTTTGGTATAATATGAAGTTCAAACTCTGTTTACGGGAATTTCGTGACGAAAAGGAATTTTTCTAATTCATTTTTAATGGTCCTAATTCTAAATGGTTTGGTTTCCTATATGTTGACTACAAGTTTACATATTGTTCCTATAATGTTTAATACTATCGTCTGCATATAGAGTATAGACACAGATAGAGATTCAACTTTTTGATGTATTTATATTTGGTGGTTATATCATCAGGGGATATGTAACCAACCTGGATACTGGAGAAATCCAAGACATTTCTTTCGTCGCCTCCAATGGGTAGGTCTTGTTTTTTTGTTCACTTTGTACACCTGCTGGAATATATTAGGAATGCAGATCCATCATTGGTTTTAATGCAGTAATCTTTTACATGAAATTAAGCAGTGATCTAGTTGGACCAAGATCAGTACACCGGAAAGCCTTACTCAATGCTTTGGCAGATCAATTGCCGATTAATTCAATCCGTTTCTCTTCCAAGCTCAATGCTATTGAGACCCAAGAACATGAAGGTTCATCCATTTCCATTATTCACATGGCAGATGGGACTGTCATCAAAGCAAAGGTAAACATAAACCAAAATGCCTTGTTTATAAGTATTTCCATTTTGATGGAATGGACTTTAACTTCTCTATTCCCTTTTGTTATTTTTTTTATTTCTTCTAATTGGATTGTTATCGGCTATAGGTTCTGATAGGCTGTGATGGGATGCACTCAGTGGTGGCACGCTGGTTAGGACTTGCTGAACCGGTCTATTCAGGTCGATCAGCGGTTCGTGGCTTGGCTGTGTTTCCTCAAGGCCATGGACTGGACAACAACGTGCAACAATATATAGGACTAGGAAGAAGGGCTGGTTTTGTTCCCCTCACTGACAAAGAGATCTATTGGTTTTTTACTTACACCTCTCCAGCTAAAGGTTCAAAACATCAGACCATGCCCTTTGTTTTACTTAGTGACAACTAATTAATTTTGTCTAAAAAAATCTGCCCTTTGTTTTACTTGTTGCATTATGCGAATAAAACCAAAACGTCAACACTACTAAGCAGACTGCAGAAAATTCTGTGTAACAAAAAATTTGATTCTCTTATAATAAGTTTTATAAATTGTATGCTACATTTTCTATCATTGTAGGGGCAGATATGGCAGATGAACCCGAAGTTATAAAAAGAGAAGTGATTGAGAATTATGCCAAGGACCTTCCTCCTATATACCTAGATGTTGTGCAGCACTCGGATCTTTCGACATTGACATGGGCTCCACTAATGTTCAGGTATCCATGGCATGTAGTTTTTGGGAACTTAAACAAGCAAAATATCACGGTGGCTGGTGATGCCATGCACCCCATGACACCTGATTTAGCACAAGGAGGTTGCTCAGCATTAGAAGATGCAGTGGTTTTAGGCAGACACATAGGGAAGTCCTTTATACAAAATGGACGACTGGTGCCAAAAGAGATGGCGGTTACAATTGGAAAATATGTGGAAGAAAGAAGGTGGCGCGTTGCTTTGTTGATCGCAGGTTCATATTTATCAGGATGGGTGCAGCAGGGACGGTCTGGATGGGGTATGAAGTTCTTGAGGGATGCCTTATTTTACAGGTTCCTTTACCCTAAAATTATTAAATTTACAAGTTATGATTGTGGAAAACTTGATTTCTAGTGCATTTCACTGTGGACAAGAATCAATATATAAACTAAGTTCCCTCCTCTGGGGAAAGAAATTATTGATGCCCTCCTCCCCAGTTTCCCAAGGATCGAAAGAGAAACAGGAATTTATAAGTAAGAACGGGTCTTTTACCAGACAGGCTACAAAAGGTAACTTTGTGCTCAGGGTATACTATTTAGTAGAATATTACAAACATGATGATTCTTCTCCTAAAGGCTGATCTCAAGAGCAGAATCTGCATATCACAAGGGCTATGAAAGTGAAATGATTATCTGTATTAATGTTTTATACATTAAATCATCCTATATTATATTTCAATATGTAGAACAACCATAGTCCAAGGAATACACAAGTGGATATGAGAGCTACTCTCAGTAAAGGAGTCATGGAAGCAAATGAATGTACAACAAGGAATCTTTACTCTCAGTAAATGAGAGAGAATACTCTAAGATATGATTGGTCAAATCTCTACGCCGAGTAGTGGATAAGACTTGAAAGAAGAAGTCTTCAAATCTTACCAGGGTAATCATATAAGAGGAATGATTCACATTAGGATATTGACAATCGGGTTCCATTATCTAATAATGTGCATAAGGAGTATTGACATAAAAGAAGGATTCAATTGCATGGTCATTCCAATTTGAATAGGTTCTTTCACAACGTCTCATTTAGCTCGTATAACCGTGACTTACAACTAGGCAACAACCTCTATCCACATGGGTGAAAGTGGAATAGCTCAACCAACTGAGCAATACTTCTATTAGCATACAATAAATAAAGAAAATGTATCGAATGACAAGTGACAACTAAAAGTAGAGCCAAATATATGTATCATACTTTGTGTTAATCTTTTGTGAGGTTTATTAATTTGTTTGCATTCTTGTTTCTAAATCATGCTCTTTATGCTTTTGGAAATACAAAAATTGCCAACGTTGATGGATAAGTTTTGATGAAGAGTATTAAGTTCTACTTATCACAATAGGTATTGTCAATATTGCTTGAGTACATTGATAATCTTAACGGTCTTAATGGTGTTATTGATAATTTCAAAAAATTGCCATCCGCCCGTCGCCCTCTCTTCCCATTCATTCAAAGTTGAAAAACACCTGTATGAGAAGGGTTGTGTAGAAATCCATGAAAGGATTTGTGTTCTTTGAAATTTGTAGGGTCTTTGACGTTTCTTTATATAAACTCCAGCACTTGGGTTACAAACTCGTACCGGACCAGTCAATTCATTGGGCCTCTCTCATTTAAATCAATTCGCATCAAGCTTTTTCTTCTCTCTTTTTTTGGGTCAAATTCGCATCAAGCTTTATTCATTCGAGTACTTCTATAGTGAGGGGAAAGTTATAAGGGGTGTTTTTGAGGGATATGTAAGAGCCGTTGGATTTCATCCAACGGTGAGTTTTTAAAAGAGGGTGCATGTAGAACCGGGTTGAAATCTGACACGTTGGAAACCCAACTTCAATTGAAGATATTTCCCTCTCTTTGAAAAATTCAAGAACACAATCCTCTGTTTTTGAATGTAACGCAAACCCACAATTAGAAAGATCCAAAGCTCCCAAACCCTATAGTCGCTCCATTGTCATCAGCTCCTTGGGAGGCCTGCGATCTATGGCATCCTCGGTATGACGATTAATGGCTCTTACCTAGCTATTGCCCTGTTTTGATTCTATGGCTCAAGTGAAAACCCCTTCTCTTTTTCGTTCAGCACACGAGATTCCAGATGAAAGCAAAGTAGCATATCTCTTTCTGTAGCTAGACACCACAACAGCATTTGTTCCTCGATTGTGGTAGAGATGGAGTCTCCACTACCAAAGAGTCTTCTCTAATGTCCACCACATTCTCTTAAGCTGATTGACTTCGGAGCTCCCGCTTGAGTTTGAGAGGTAAGTTTACTGTTGCTGGATTGATTTGTTGAGTTTGGTTTGTTTTTTGTGAGGGTGAGAAATTCGTCATTTGTGGCATCAATAATGCGTCATTTCTGCGGTCAATAATGTGTTATTCTGCCGTCAATAATGCGTCAGTTTTCTGTCAATAATGCGTCATTTCCTTATGAATATTCAATATATTTAGTTGATTGTTTTTGGTGGGGGTGGGAAATTATAAAATGTAGGTAAAAGATCCTAAACTTAGGCTTAATGGCATTAGGAGTAAGCATTTGGAGAGGATATTGGGAGAAGTTCTGTAATTGCTGGTTTGAATTACATTTGTGTTCTTAGTTGAACATGTTGGTTCTAATGTTATTTTTTCCAGATTATCCCAAGATGACACCTGGCGCCAAGTTTTTTGCACTAAAAAAAGCCAAAATAATCCCAAGATGACACCTGGCGTCATCTCAGCGCATCACCTTTCACCACTTGCACAAGTGTACGTCAATAAACATGGCCACATCCTTGCTTTTTACCCTAAATTCTTATTTTATTGTTTTTCTTATGAAATTCATAACTAAATACACAAAAATTATAAAAATGTTTCGAAAATTGCTACGAACTCATTGACACTTCATCTTCCTTACCGAATTCCTTGTTTCATGGTTACGCAACATTAGTATTTTATTATTATTTACCCTAAATTATTATTATATTACTTTTTAGCCTCTACATTTGTTAATTATATTAACTCGAAATTATTATTTTGAGTTCGAATAGACCATTTCTGGTGTTAATCAGTTTTTCTCTTCAATTTGTTAATTTTTTTTCTTTATTGGGGTTAAGGGATGTTTTGAAAAATAAAAAGAAAAAATTACATTCCAACCATTGTATAACATCAGAAAAAAGTCAATGAATAACCCATTTGTATAGCTTAATTTGGATCCCAACCATCTCATTCATTCATACAAAATTGACAGATTACTGACTACTGACAGAAGGTCCCATCAGATACTTTTACATTGCAAAGCATGTTATTTGCTCCATGTTAGCAATACCACGATCACCCCAACCAACTGAATAGCGGTAGCCGCAATTAGTCAGTCGTATTAGTCGACTTCTTCCGAGCAGCTTTGACGTGCTTATGCTCACTCATGTCACCACCATCATCTAGTATCTCTCTCACACCATCAGGGGATACATAGTCCCAATTATAACTTGTATGAGTAGTTGCTGCAAATGCTCGGAATTTTTCGAATCCTTCGTTGAATGCCATCTCCAGTTCACTGTGGTGCTCTTCGCATCACATATGGTTCATCAAACAACCTTTAATTTCATCATTCATTACTGTATCCAACTCCTCTTCTTTCAGCTTCCTTTTATGACTCAGCTTCAAATACTTGTTCTTTTGGGAGAACGCTTTGTTAACTCTAATGTTAAGATCAGCCAAAATGGCCTCGTCTTCAACACATTTCTCGTGCCATGAATTGATCAGTCTGGAATTATAATCTAGCTTGCTACTGACTGCATGTATTGCCTCTAATGGATCATCGGAGTCCCCCTCACTCCCATATGATGTTGAAAATGGAAGGGGTCGGCGAGTACAACGTGGAAATGGAACCTGCGACTCCAATTTTTCATATTCGACTGTGTTGTTGGCGCCTGAAGAGGATGACATGCTTGAATAATCATATTTGTTTTTAGAGGATGAGGATTTCATATGCAATTTCATTTGAGGAAGGGGACATAGCTTTATAGACCAACATACCAAAGCTTGCGTGTAGTCAACATATGTACTTTATTTCAATTTTTAACCAAGTTGTGTCAGGTTTTGCTTTTTCAAGCATGTCAACCTCATTACACCACTGTCAATGGTTGAAAGAAACTCAATGGAAGTGACATCTAGTTAGTGAACCCAACCACAGTAGTTAGGATTAAACTTAGATTGTATCAGATCAAAAATTAATTTATACATTGTCAACCAAATATTTTTTGGCGGGAACCTTTTTATTGGTATTACTATCACCCCCTTCATAGAAACTCTCCCTCCACAAAAAACTAACTCCTCCACCGAATCTCTCTCCATCGACTGAAACTCTCTCCCTCCATAGAATGGATTTACCAACCAAGTTTGATGTCAACGTAATAAACACCCCTCCAAACAAAGACCGCCTTCGAAACGCAAGTGAGTCACTAGACAAGCACTGTCACATTCCTAGATAGAATGACCATTTAGTTGGAAGTTTTGAGTCTGAAAGGGTTCTTGGATTCTGGAAGGAGAGGCATCTTCAACTTGGTGATGAAATCCAAAGGGCAAGGGCACGTTTGGAATTTGTTGAAGGCCAAATTGAAGATGACAAAAGGCAGGCCAATCTGGATAGGGCGAAGTTGCAGCGCATGAAGCATAGACACAAACGACTTCAGAGTGTAGCTATTCAAAAATACAAGAACTCATCTAATGCAGTGGAGTCAAAGAAGCGTGTGATGCAAGCTGGATTCAACTACTTCTGGTCCTATGCAAAACTCGTCGTACCCGGGTTTGATTGGTCATCTATTACCGTTTCCGACGTTAACAAATATACTCACCAACGGAAGTAACCGTTTTGTTTATCGTGTTTGAGCAGAGGCAAATCAGTGGAATTGGAATTTTCGTTAAACTCTGCTTCAAACCTATTTTGATGCTTACTACTATGGAAGATTTCAACCTTAATATTTTGATGTCTTTAATTACGAGAACACATGATGCAACGTGACCATCTACTTCAGTCATATGTTGCTGCCATGTCCATTTTTGTGTGATCACGTATCAGATTTGGACATGGTTGCATCATATGCAATGTTGCCTTTATTTATTATATGTTAGGGCAAGGTTTATGGAAAAGCATTTGTGAGTGCGTTTGTGACAAGGTTATGGCATGATTTTGTACCAGTTATATATGTTTTTTTGTACTGGTTCATCTCCTACTATTTTTTTCTTCCTTTATATTATATGTTTGTGGAATCCCTCAAAGTTAACATATACTGTGATAAAAATGCAGAGTGATTATATAATCACTCATATAGACTAGGACAAATATTCACTAATATTTTAAAATTGCTTGACTGGTGTGAGGTTTTTCAAAAAAAGTATGGCATTATTTTATGTGATTGGACATGATAGATATTTTGTACTGATTCCCGATGGACTACTTATTGAATACCTGTGACGTGTTCATAAC